TTTATTGTTGACACACAAAGTCTGACGACAAAAATTTAAGTGAAACTTCTCTGTGTCAGTCTGTCCCATTTACCATTCTCTGAAAGACCCCAAACTTCAGATCCATACAATAAAATTGGTAATTGCAATGAGTCAAACAGTTTGGATTTCAACTTAATATTGTTAAACTTTTCACTGTAGATGTTACCAATTGAATATTTGGTTTTCCTTGCCTTATCAGTAAGTCTCTGCATAGTTTTTGTGGAGTGAACCATTAGTGTTAAAGGTAATGCCCAAGTATGTGAATTGATTGGTTTTTTCAAGAATTGTGTCACCATATTTAAGAGCAATGTTATCAGATCTGTGGCCATATTTTGTGAAGATTTTGTGTATTTACTTTCAATCCCCACCTATTAGTATAGTCATGTAGATGATTACGGCAAGACTAAAGTCCCTCTTTAGATGTTGAAGTGATAACTATATCATCAGCAAAGAGGAGGCTGGATATTGTTAGTCCATCTAGTACTGGTTGATCAATGGCTGTACTGTGCATATGTCCCACATAAGTACTAAGCACATGCAAAGAACAAATGCATTCAGTTTAGAGGGTTCTGAAATACGACTGAATTATAATGAACAGTAAATTATGTTCAGATTTAGCTACAATAAATAGCAGGGGTTCTTCCAGACAGAGGAACAGGGGCGCAGTGCCTTCATACCATGGGCTTGCACCCTTTTACCGAACCTGGAACAGTCAGTGGATTATGATCAGTTATAACAAATATAGAATGTTGCCAATAGTAATAAAGGTATACTCCTTAAAAAAAATTCCCTGAATAGCATTTGTTATGATTACAAGAATAGAAATGACGTACCGTACTTCCCCGATCATTAGCCCAGGGGCCTGAACATGTAAAATTGGGAAAAATTAAGGGACACGATCAAGTAAAACGATAAAAGCACAACCAAACTACCATACCATTCACGATTATTATGCAATAAAACACACTTTTTACACAAATATTTTAATAAATGTCGATGATGCCTGGTAAAAACACCCTGGGCTTATAATCGGGATGCCCTCAACTTGTTAAATGTTGTCGCATACGACTTATTTACCACTTCCGTGTCACTGAGAATGTTCTAGAACCGTACTGTGTCTGGGTGGAATATTCTTTTTTTAGAAACTGGTTGAATAGGTAATATAACACTGTAGGAGGCAATAGAAGGTAATGGAACATTCTAGAAATTTGTAGTAAGTTCCAGACTCATTATGTATGCTGATGTAATGGTCTATTTATAGACAGTGGGGGTATATATAGGGGAGTTGTTCAGCACTGAGTTCAGATTGGAGATCTCGTTGAAGTGTATTGGAGTTTAAGTATCTAGTTATTGGAGTAGTGGAGATTTACCGCGTTATTGTACTTGATGTTTGCAGAGTATAATAATACCAGTACCAGTTGAAACCTCATCTGTTGGCTCCGTGTTCGTATTTTATCATCGCCGCCAGGGAAGTCTTTCTGTTACTGTTGCCATTTTGGTATTTGAATCATCACACCTGTACTATACCAATTACGGTAATATTACGTTGCGTGTGACAAATGTCTAAAAATAGGGTGGGCGGGCTTACACTCTGGTAGGGGCTTATTATCAGGGGAGGAACGGGGATTATAGAATGCGGTATGGCATGTGATAGAGATCAATTGACGACAACATGTGCTGCTATAAAAACATAAATATGTCATCACTGTTTTAGCATTTGTTCAATCATTTTGTTTGTCACAATTGAATGCCTTCATTAATAATTAATTACATGACATCACCTAAAATAATTTTCCTGGTGTTCAACCAATTCTAGTAGAATTTGAAACATTTATATAATCATAGATAACAAAATATTGAGAATATGAAGCAGATATGAAACCAATATTTGAGATATTCATGGTACATTTAAATTGACAAACCTTGACATTTAGCATCGTATTCTTTCCGCTTCTCGGCATGACCCAAAATTTTCCAGGCTTTATCAATTTCAATGAATCTATCCAAATATTTGTCTTTTTCATGTTTCGGCAAGTCTCTGTCAATTTTATCCGGGTGATACTACAATAAGATTCAACAGAAAAATGTTGCTGCATTAGACATTTTAGGTGTGAGCAATTAATACATGTGTTACCAATGAAGAGCACTCCAATGACTGGAAGCATTAGTTCAGAATATCATTGTTTTCGGTCAGTGTGAAAATTTATTTTTATAACAATTTTTTGATGAAAAAATGGGCGTGTGTATTGATTTTGGAAAACAACTTGAACATAAATGTTTTTTCTATTTTTTTCAGGAACATACTTTCCATTAACTCATTTATTAAATTGCACTGCCAGTTTTTGATATTCAATATGAAAACTGGCGAAGCCTAATAATATTAAAATGATACACATGTCAAATTTCTGAAGTTTATATGTATACTAGATTTATTTTCACTACCATGCTTTAAAGAGGCATTCAAATGTAGGTATTTTTGATCATATTTATTAAATAATTTTTTTTTTGATATTGCATCTTGATTAAGTTATTTCGATATGATTTATTATAGAATAAAAATAATGTTTTTGATGTGAACATAGAAATATTTGATAGATGACTGAAAGGGTTTAATTATCTTTATTTTAGGTAAATCAAGGATATGCAAGTGAATTGGATTTTCACAATATTTTATTTGATAAGGTTTGATTTTAAAACATGTGGGTCAGGATGTACTATCGAAAATAAACTACACCAGTGTAAAAATATATATTTGAAGGCTTGTTACTAGAAATTGCCATCAGTTTAACTGCTTTAGCTATATGTAACAAATCTAGAATAGCGTAGCGGTATTGTTGCCTTTGATTACTGCCATATTTGTAATATTACTCAGTTGTAACAGAATTACCAAAACACAAACGAAAAACGACAGATTTTTCAAAAACTGACACCGGTGGTGCACTTGCAATTTTAGCTAACACGTCTAGGGCAGGGATTGTGGCATTGTCGTATTAATCCACACGGGACTTGTGGTGTATACATAATGCAACATCAAAAAGTAATATGATTGCGAGGTAGCCCACCTTTAAGATCAGTTTTTGGTAGATACGTTTAAGTTCGTCGTCGGAGCACTTATTGTTTGCGTCAAAAACTGCATACAAATCAACGCTAAATTCGAGTGCAGACGTCATTTTCAACCGGAAATCCTATACTCGAGTAATCGGAACGTGTTCTTTTCGATAGTCATTGCTTTCGTGGATGTGGACAACAATCGTCGTGTTGATTTTCAGCGCACGAATCGTGATCATACATTTACATAGCGAGACTACTGTCTGTCGTTTGTCAAAGGTCATCGCCTGATGGCGCTATTTTTGAGATAACAGGCATGTTGCAAATATTCTCCCGAGTCACCTGATATATAAATTTAGCACTGAACTGGCGGTTGTATAAAGTCCCGTGGATTACTAGGTAATTGTATTTTGAAAAAGGTATACTGCTCATATGTCGTCTTCGGTTTTCCATAAAATCTCACATTTTCATTTCTTCAGATAAGGGGGCACTCCTGGAGGAGGTGGGAGGGAGTTTTGTGTTCATTTCATACATGTACATGTATACTCCACCTGTCTATACAAACAACGTAGGCGTACCTGTGTGTGTAATCTGTTTGTATGTTCACTGTTCGTATTTTTTAATCATTTGACTTTATGGAGTCAACATATTAATAGAAAAACTATTCCAGAAAAAATATCATCACTTTATAGTAACTTTTTAGACACTTAGTACTATTAAGAAATTCTACTTTATTCTAGACCTTCCACAAAACATAGCTGCATGTGTTGGTTCATACATATATCAAATGTACAATCAGAGAGATTCACTCATGTATACTACGTGCTTTTTGTTCTTGATACCCTTACCTCTTTCACAAGAAGATCAACGTAATTAAGGTAGAAGCCTAGTCATAATTTTTGACAAAATCGGTCATAAATCACATGACAATGTTAATTAGTTCTAGGTTCAATGAAATAGCATTATTTTGTGTGTTACAGTTATGCTTTTTGAGAAACGTGTCCTAATATTTCTTGAAAATTGCTATTTTTAGAACAATTCCATAGAACACAATGTTAAAGAAAAATTGCATTTTTTGACACTTTTTAAAACTCAGATTTTTTAAATAATTCAGAACAACAAAAAGTACTTCATCATTAACAATATATGATTTTTTCAGCCTATGTCACTAGGCTAGATTTTGAGATATTGCATAATATCTCTGCCATAGGAACCAGTGGTAAAAGTGTTATAATAGCGTCAAAATGGTGACTTTCCACTAAAATACAACCATCAATTTCTCGAAAAAAAGGCTGGTGACCTCCAACTTTTTAGGTCAATATCCTTATATTGCCTTGGAGTACAATTTATTGCAAAATGAATAAATTCTAGGTTTTTTACCTTAAATATTTAATTAAAGTTTACAGTTCATCAAGCCATAAACCAATGCAGTGTAAACCAATATCATTATTAAATATTAATGTGGTTAATATACGTCAATCTAACTAATTCAACAAATTGAAATATTGTGCAAACCTCTGATTTTAGAATCACAATTTTCTGAAACTCAATTTGCCAAATGTTGATTATCTAAATTTCAGATTATTTTTGCTTTTTGTAAATTTCATAGGTGATTTTTTTGGTCAAAAGAGTATTTTTTTGGTTTCTACCAAAATACTGTGAAAATTAAAGAACAAACGACCTGATGGTCAAAAGAGCATTAAGATCCAACCCATCAAAAACTATAATTTGAAAGTACTCATCTTAGTACTAATTCATGTAACTTTTATTTCAAGTTTCAGAATTATTTCATAACAAACTATTGACATCATTATAGCAACAACAAGTAGTATGGCAACTAGTATTGCATCAGGGCTATCAAAACGTGGTGAACATATCAGAGTGATGCCTAATCCACCTCTGTCTGCTGCACACTTTAAATGTGTTGCCAACGCGTATGATCCGGTGAAAAACCCAAAGGTAAGTTTTATGGTTGACATATTGATTATTTCAGTGTATGCAGAATATCTCATAATATTACCATGTGTAAAAGTTTGTCAGTAAAATGACCTGGATATTATTCATAATGGCCTATTGATGGCCATTTTTTTTTTTACGAATTGCAGTTCTTGAACCAAATCTCTGATGTGCCTGGACCAATCACATTCAGGCTTCATACATCATGTCACTTTATTAGGATTTACTAATTGTACATTCACCTTATGATAAAATTTATCATGACTGAATGGCGGCCATTTTAATGTTAAGAAATGTATTAAAATTATCAATGTGTCTGATTTCTGGCAGATTTTTTTCCATTTTTGATAAATTGATAAATGCTAAATATGCAGTTACTGGTTACATGGTGATTCTTTTTTTGTATTTAAACATTGATATCCAAAAATCTTTAAGACACTGACTTCTGACATGTTTTGTGGCCCCATGTAATTTGCATGTCAGCAATTAACCTGTTGATCTTTAACTTTTTCAATGCCAAAATCAATGCTTGTCAATTTCACAAAATATACCTGTATAACTATTTCTGTAGTTTTTCTAAAATTGTTATCAAGATCTGTAGCCAGTCCATTTGATACAAAATTTAAAAAAAAAAGTATTTTTAAAATAATAGTTTTTAAAAACAATTATTATTACTTTTTTATGGAATTTCATTTAATGGATTCATTGATATTTGAATTTTTATAAGCATAATGTACAGCAGAGGTCAGAGTTTATAGGCTATAGTTCAGTCATATCACTACATAATGATTCTACTATTTATGTTTTGTATTCTAATAACACCTCTATTTTCAGTTAAAAAATGTTAATAATGTGTGTGATAATTGATTTAATTTGTTGTTAATTGCTTTATTAATTGTGATTTTTTTTATTCTTTTAGGGTATGGTTAATTTAGGCAGCAGTGAGAATCACTTATGTTATGATCTTATTTCAGAGAAGGTAATTCCCAAGATAATATCTATTTTGACATTTGTGACATTGTTCATTATTTTGCAATGAAATTTAGCTAAATAACACATGTTATATAGTGTATGATATTTTCAATTATAGAATTTGTGTTATAAATGAGGTAAGTTTTTTTTGACTCACTTATCATCTAGACTACATTATTGATGGCGTTGTAACAAATCCTGCAGTGATTAGAATGGTCAAATCATTAATGATACTGTAAAAAATTTTGGCCACTTCTAAAATAATTATTTTTTTAAATGGTTGAGTTTTTAGAATACAAAATTATGTTTATTAAAAACATGGCATACATGGCATACATGGTCACTATTGGTGTCAGGAAGCCAAATCAAAACACAAACATTTGTTATGTTCATTGCCAAAAATACAAACAGATTATGAATATGAGTTGGCACTACGGGAAAGACTTGCAGATTTATTATGCTAATAAGTAAAATACACTCCATCATGTTATCATCATGAAAGTTGGTAAAACTTTTTCAGTACTTGTTTTACCTCTTAAAAAAGGCTAATCATCTCGCTAAAAAACATCAGACAATGAAACCCACGCCAATAAGTCATACTTCAATGTTGATAATAACAAAATTCATTTTCGAGATGTGTCCTCAGAATATATCAGTAGTACCATACAGTGTTCTGATTGGTGACTGGCATTCTTGACCTATCAGGTCAAAGGACACCTTGGTAGGTCAACTCGTTTGTACAGAATCATTTCATGTTCTAAGATGTGTTTTTACACATATTTCACAGCAAACTAAAGAGATAATATTATTTGTATCAAACCATGACTGAATAATAAACAATGGTGTTAAAAGAAATGTATATTTCATGAATTGAAGCCTATGTTGGAGTCAAACCATTGCTCCAAGAAAACAAAACAAGGTGGATGAAATTTTAGAGAATTAAAGTCAGTACAATTCAGTGATTAGATTAAAAACCAATAAATTATCAAACTTTTAGAGTACCAGTAGGTGAGTTTTTATTGTGGATTGTAATTAAACAGGTGACAATGGAATGTTATGTCTGCAAGATCCAAATGTCTGTATGATTCAAGAAACTAGAGAAAAATACACAACAATGTGAAAATGGTGAACCAATGATTTTTAACATCCATAATGATGGGGCGGTTCTTAACATGGTAAACAAATCAAATTTGTTGTTGAAATGTTTTCATGCCTTTTAGCTTTATTGAGTCTAAACAGGAATTTAAAATCTAGGGAAGGCTAAAAATAGTTAATCTAAGTTTAGTACCTGTATGATTTTAGGGCCTTTGGTTGATGAATCAATTCTTAATTAGGTTAATATCAGATTATATAACATTCACAGATAACAGTGTGACTTGTATCACAGTCCCCCCATAAATAGATAGAAGGACTGTGCTTGTATCATACTTTGGCGCAAACAAACCAAGACAACCAGAGTTTCTGCGCTCCGCTATAGGAATATAATGTAAGCCAACTACAAAATAACAGCTCCCTCTCTGCCACAGATAAAAGATTTACTCTGTTTTACAGTTCAAAGATCCCAAGATGCATTGCATTGAACCATGGATGATGCAATATTGCAATACACGTGGGATTATTCAGTTGAGACAAGCTATTGGTGACTATTTGACAATGAAAAACAAGACTTCTACTCCAGTTAAACCTGAAAATGTAAGAATACCTGCATGTTTATGGTTCAATTAAGTGGAAATAAATTGAAAAGGTATCATTGTCTTGAAGACAATCTTAAGTAAATGTGTTCATTTTGAAAGAAAACTTTTTAGAAAAAACAAAACTTGAATAAAATTACTGGGACCTAAAAAAAAAACTTTTTGGTTTTATTTGTAAAAACCGATGATCGTCAAAATACTTGGCAACAATATTTTTGATCAAAATTGAAATACTAAAATAATGGTACATTAAAAATTAAGTAATTTTACAAAAATGATATCATCTTTTTTCCATCATAATTGACTCTCATTCTCCAAGAATATTCTGTGTGTTTTGACACCAGATTCCAAAAGTACATTTTGTGCACACATACATTTGTATAAATGTTAGGCTTTTGAAAAAGAATTTCATATTACTTAATTAGATACTTTATTAGTTTGTACATTATTTTACTTTATTTGAAAAAAAATATATTATTTTTAGGATTTTGTTCCATTTTTTGTAGCTGTCAGTTTGCAACGGAGTTGAAACACTTATAGCTGCATTGATGACTGTGTTGTGTGATCCTGGAGGTAAGAACAAAAATGTAACAAACACACAAACATGATCAATTTGAATATTGAAATCTCGAAACATTGATAAACATTTTTGTGAATTTTTCATTTACTCTTGAATAAAACAATTACACCATATCAAGAAAGGTTGAGTTTGTTTAAAATAAATCTGATTATGAAGAAAGGTGAAATTAAAAATATTTGTGTATGTAACTAAAATTTGCTATGCACCACTACTGCGTACTTTGTCGAGATATGTTATGCATCACTACTGCGTACTTTGTCGAGATATGTTATGCACCACTACTGCGTACTTTGTCGAGATATGTTATGCACCACTACTGCGTACTTTGTCGAGATATGTTATGCACCACTACTGCGTACTTTGTCGAGATATGTTATGCACCACTACTGCGTACTTTGTCGAGATATGTTATGCACCACTACTGCGTACTTTGTCGAGATATGTTATGCACCACTACTGCGTACTTTGTCGAGATATGTTATGCACCACTACTGCGTACTTTGTCGAGATATGTTATGCACCACTACTGCGTACTTTGTCGAGATATGTTATGCACCACTACTGCGTACTTTGTCGAGATATGTTATGCACCACTACTGCGTACTTTGTCGAGATATGTTATGCACCACTACTGCGTACTTTGTCGAGATATGTTATGCACCACTACTGCGTACTTTGTCGAGATATGTTATGCACCACTACTGCGTACTTTGTCGAGATATGTTATGCACCACTACTGCGTACTTTGTCGAGATATGTTATGCACCACTACTGCGTACTTTGTCGAGCGAAACCTATCATATGAGTGATTGTCTGTTGTCCATCGTTGTCAGTCGTCATTCGTGTCAATGTTTTACTTTTTTTGACTTCTTCTTCAAAACTACAAGCCTAAATGCTTTGATACTTGGTGTATATGTACCTTGGGTGGACCTCTCCCAGATTTGTTCATTTTGTAATGATATCTTCAATTCTCTAATTTTGGTGAATATTTTTGTCATTTTTGGTAAAAAGTGATATTTTCGACTTCTTTTTAAAAACCGCAAGTGCAATTGCTTTGATATTACATATATAGTTACTACATGTGGACCTCTCTTAGATTGTTCATTTTGTAATGATATCTTCAATTCTCTAATTTTGGTGAATATTTTTGTAATTTTTAGTAAAAAGTGATATTTTCGACTTCTTGTTAAAAACCACATGTCCAATTGCTTTGATATTATACATATAGGTACTACATGTGGACCTCTCTCAGATTTGTAAATTTCGTGATGATATCTTTATCTTTAGCAAGTCTAATTGCTTTGATATTATATATACTACATGGGTACTACAGGTAGACCTCTCTTACATTTGTTCTTTTCGTGATGATTTTGTTCTTTAATTATCTAATTTTAATGAATACTTTTGATAAAAAGTTATACTTTTGAATTTTTGGTGAAAAAAGCAAGTCCGATTGCTTTAATACTATACATATTGTTCATTTTTCTAATAATATCTTCAGTTCTTTAATCGAAATGTGCATTGATAACAGCGGAGCTATCTCAGCTAGTTTTTTAATATAATAGCTTATGAATCATGAACATGTGAGGTAGAAAAGTATGTGTGAAAAGTAGTCACTTTGATATATATGTATACCTTACCAGCAATATCATGAATGTTTTTAGCTTGCACATGTACATACATTTATGTAGCTTGGATTGATATCTTACAATGTATTCTTGAATGGGTATTCAACAATGAATGAACATCTGCCTCTGACAGTTATCTTAACCATTAATGGATGCCCTATATCCAACCCTGGATGAACACCAGCCTCTTACAGATATTCTAACCATAAATGGATGCCCTATATCCAACCCTAAATGAACATCTGTCTCTGACAGATATCCTAACCATTAATGAATGCCCTATGTCCAACCCTAGATGAACACCTGCCTCTGACAGATATCCTAACCATTAATGAATGCCCTATATCCAACCCTGGATGAACACCAGCCTCTGACAGATATCCTAACCATTAATGAATGCCCTATGTCCAACCCTGGATGAACACCTGCCTCTGACAGATATCCTAACTATTAATGGATGCCCTATATCCAACCCTAGATGAACACCTGCCTCTGACAGATATCCTAACCATTAATGAATGCCTTATGTCCAACCCTGGATGAACACCTGCCTCTGACAGATATCCTAACCATTAATGGATGCCCTATATCCAACCCTAGATGAACACCTGCCTCTGACAAATATCCTAACCATTAATGAATGCCCTGTGTCCAACCCTGGATGAACACCTGCCTCTGACAGTTATCCTAACCATTAATGAATGCCCTATCTCCAACCCTGGATGAACACCTGCCTCTGACAGATATCCTAACCATTAATGGATGCGCTATATCCAACTCTGGATGATCACCTGCCTCTGACAGATATCCTAACCATTAATGGATGCCTTATATCCAACCCTGGATGAACACCTGCTTCTGACAGATATCCTAACCATAAATGGATGCCCTATATCCAACCCTTGATGAACACCTGCCTCTGACAGATATCCTAACCATTAATGAATGCTCTATAATCAATCCTGGATGAACACCTGCCTCTGACAGATATCCTAACCATTAATAAATGCCCTATGTCCAACCCTGGATGAACACCTGCCTCTGACAGATATCCTAACCATTAATGAATGCCCTATATCCAACCCTAGATGAACACCTGCCTCTGACAGATATCCTAACCATTAATGGATGCCCTATATCCAACCCTGGATGAACAACTGCCTATGACAGATATCCTAACCATTAATGAATGCCCTATGTCCAACCCTGGATGAACACCTGCCTCTGACAGATATCCTAATCATTAATGGATGCCCTATATCCAACCCTGGATGAACACCAGCCTCTGACATATATCCTAACCATTAATGGATGCCCTATATCCAACCCTGGATGAACACCTGCCTCTGACAGTTATCTTAACCATTAATGGATACCCTGTATCCAACCCTGGGTGAACACCTGCCTCTGACAGGTATCTTAATCATTAATGGATGCCCTATATCCAACCCTGGATGAACACCAGCCTCTGACAGATCCTAACCATAAATGGATGCCATATATCCAACCCTAGATGAACACCTGCCTCTGACAGATATCCTAACCATTAATGAATGCCCTATATCCAACCCTAAATGAACACCTGCCACTGACAGATATCCTAACCATTAATGAATGCCCTATATCGAACCCTGGATTAACACCTGCCTCTGACAGATCCCAACCATAAATGGATGCCCTATGTCCAACCCTGGATGAACACCTGCCTCTGACAGATATCCTAATCATTAATGGACGTCCTATATCCAACCCTGGATGAACACCTGCCTCTGACAGTTATCTTAACCATTTAAGGATGCTCTGTATCCAACCCTGGATGAACACCTGCCTCTGACAGGTATCTTAACCATTGATGGATCTCCTGTATCCAACCCTGGATGAACACCTGTCTCTGAAAGTTATCTTAACCATTAATGGACGTCCTATATCCAACCCTGGATGAACACCTGCCTCTGACAGTTATCTTAACCATTTAAGGATGCCCTGTATCCAACCCTGGATGAACACCTGCCTCTGACAGGTATCTTAACCATTGATGGATCTCTTGTATATAACCCTGGATGAACAACATCTACTCTGAATGCATGCTATGTACCTTATCCACAAACAGAACTCATCTTTGATTGGTATTCAAGGTGGGATAGACCCTAAATTCACGACCCTGGATGAAATTAACCATTACCTGAATGACACCCTACCATAAATAGCTGTTCAGGATGGGACCAGCGATACCAGAACAGCGACACCCTGCCCCCAAAAGTTGCCCTGGATGATCTATGCTACGAAAAGGACACGCTACCCTATATGCACACCAAATAACAATTATCATCTCAGTCAGGATGACTACTCTATCCTGAGTAAATGCCATGAATCATTGAGCTTATACTTACCTTCTACTGATTAAATTGAGGTCAAGAAGCATATTTTTGTATACATTTATTTCATATTCTCCCTTATCAGATGGATTTTTATGTCCTGCACCCATTTATGGGGGTGTACGCAATGACTTACAAAGAACAGCTATGGTCAATTTTGTACCTGTTCATTTATCTAGCCAGGTACTGTTACTTTTTTTTTGTTATCTAATTAATGAATCATTGCAGACAGATTGGATTGGCAATCCGCGATCAGCTCCTCTAGGATTGCCCTTTAGTGTGTGTCTGTGTTTTCACATGTTAACGTGATTTTTTTTGCTGGGCCGATTTCATTCAAACTTGGAAGGCATGTCACACCTTCACTATAGTTAGATGGTAAAATCTGGAAAAATTTCCTTCCCACCATTGCTATACCAACCGACAACAATTTTCAATTTTGACTATCTTCGCGCCAAATGTATCTCCTCCTACAAATGTTGGATTAACAATCTTCGACATAGCTCATTTGACTCAGCTTTGTTTTTTTGGATATTTTTTCATTGACGAGAAATTTGACCTCAAAGTTGAGGTAACTTTTCACCAGGAACAACTTTTAAATCTTCTTTGGCTTTTTTTGGCTGGGCCAATTCCATTCAAACTTGGCAGGCAGGTCAAAGGAAAAATTCCTGGCCCACCTTTGCTGTTGTCACTTTTGAATACCTTCAAGCCAAATGTATCTTCTCTGTAGTTCTGTAGATGTGGTAGTAATAAAGTCAAGTGACTTCTGAACTTTTTTTTACGAACTTCATATATGGGGGGTTAAGTTTTAATATTAAACCAACCTTAGCTTCATGTTTGTGTCCTACATGTTTTTTTAGCTGAGTGGATTGCCAATCAGTCTACTAGCGTGTTTACTGTGAGTCTGTGATGCATTAATATAGAAAGTCAGTGTCAATCCAATCATGGAATCATGGTCATGGCTTTTAGAAATTGTTCACTTGATATTATTCTTTCTATTTGTCACTTACTTATTTTATTCAAACTTGGTTTACTGCAAGCCATTCTCTTGTTTCAATTTTCATTGTAGTTTTGTTAATTTTGTCTGTTCTAAATGTCTCCTGTCTGTCATTAGATCTAGATGCAATCTTTCAAACTTAACTGTCTTCCCACATAAGAGGGGTGGCAAGGGTTATTTTCGGTCAACGTAATTGCAATATTTTTTTGTTCGTACAACGTAAATTGAAAAAATAAATTCCGTAATTCTGTAATCACAGGCTAGACGTACAACGTAATCAATCAAATATTTTTTTCGTACACTGTACAAATGTGTCATTTTTTTCGGTACGTACAAGAATTTTCTAGGTATTCTTTTTTAATCTTTTATCTTTTTTCCGTAAAATTAAAAATAACATTTGTTTTCACTGTAAACTGTAAAAACGTCTTTTTTTTCTTGTAAATTGTAAAAAGCCCTTTTTATTTCCCGTAAAACTGTACCGACTACCCCCCTTGCTTGCTCCCCCTCACATAACAATGGATTTAGATTTAGCTACAAATTGAGAAACTAATGTTTCATATTCAAAGTTGACTTGATGGGCACTCCAAATTGCTTTTTTGTAATTTTTTTAAGAGTTTTTTTTTTCATATTTGTGTAAACCATTACAGCTATCAAGTTTGTTATTACTAACCGAAATAATTAAATAAGGGCAGATAACTTTTGTATTTCTACTGAGTGAATTGATTGACAGAGTTGTGAGGGTGCATTTATCATACTAACAATGCAACAGGTTTGAGTTATCAACAACAATTATCAATTATTTTTAATATTCTGTAACTAATAGTAATTAGGGACGACGTCAAAAGATCGATGTCGGATAAAAAACTTAATTCCTTTAGTTTTTTTCCAAACCCCCCTACCCCCCACTGAAACTTAATTGATAAATATTGGTCATGGCGTCAGACTACATTCACCATTAAATACAAATTGATAATCGGACAGTAGTATTGCATAGCAGTTGTCTGTCGGGTGGGTGTCAAAAGATTTTACAAATGCACCTCATTTGATGCACAGATTTACACTCGAACCAAACCATTTTTCTGTTTTTTTCCCTTTTCGGTTATTTCTTCCATGATTGGATTGAAAAAAAAAACGAACTACAAATACTCCAAGATTTTTTTGACTTCATTGAAAAATAAAATCGTTTTTGTCGGATAGAAACTTTTTGAGGTCAAAACCCCCCACCC